CATTTCTCCAAAGAAGATATACAGATTGCCAACAAACCCATGAAAGAATGCTCAACATCACTAATCATTAGAGAAATGCAAATCAAAACTACAATGAGGTATCACCTCACACCAGTCAGAACGGCCATCATCAAAAAATCTACTGACAATAAATGCCAGAGAGGGTGTAGAGAAAAGGGAACCCTCTTGCACTGTTGGTGGGAATGTAAACTGATACAGCCACTATGGAGAACAGTATGGAGGTTCCTTAAAAAACTAAAAATAGAACTACCATATGACCCAGCAATTCCACTACTAGGTATATACCCTGAGAAAACCATAATTCAAAAAGAGTCATGTACCAAAAATGTTCATTGCAGCTCTATTTACAATAGCCAGGAGATGGAAACAACCTAAGTGTCCATCATCGGATGAATGGATAAAGGAACATGTGGCACATATATACAATGGAATATTACTTAGCCATATAAAGAAACAAAATTGAGTTATTTGTAGTGAGGTGGATGGACCTAGATTCTGTCATACAGAGTGAAGTAAGTCAGAAAGAGAAAGACAAATACTGTATGCTAACACATATATATGGAATCTAAGGGAAAAAAATGTCATGAAGAACCTAGGGGTATGACAGGAATAAAGACACAGACCTACTAGAGAATGGACTTGAGAATATGGGGAGGGGGAAGGGTAAGCTGGGACAAAGTGAGAGAGTAGCACGGACATATATACACTACCAAACGTAAAACAGATAGCTAGTGGGAAGCAGCCACATAGCACAGGGAGATCAACTCGGTGCTTTGTGACTATCTAGAGGGGTGGGATAGGGAGGGTGGGAGGGAAGGAGACACAAGAGATATGGGAACATATGTATATGTATAACTGATTCACTTTGTTATAAAGCAGAAACTAACACATCATTGTAAGGCAATTATACTCCAATAAAGATGTAAAAAAAAAGAGTTATGTACCACAATGTTCATTGTAGCACTATTTACAGTAGCCAGGACATGGATGCAACCTAAGTGTCTATCGACAGATAAATGGATAAAGAAGATGTGGCACAGATATACAATGGAATATTACTCAGCCACAAAAATAAACGAAATTGAGTTATTTGTAGTGAGGTAGATGGACCTAGAGTCTGTCATACAGAGTGAAGTAAGTCAGAAAGAGAAAAACAAATACCAGATGCTAACACATATATGGAATCTAAAAAAAAAGGTTCTGAAGAACCTAGGGACAGGACAGGAAAAAAGACGCAGACGTAGGGAATGGACTTGAGGACACGGGGAGGGGGAAGGGTCAGCTGGGATGAAGTGAGAGAGTAGCACTGACATATATACACTACCAAATGTAAAACAGACAGCTAGTGGGAAGCAGCCACATAGCACAGGGAGACCAGCTCGGTGCTTTGTGACCACCTAGAGGGGTGGGATAGGGAGGCTGGGAGGGAGACACAAGAGAGAGAGGATATGGGGATATATATATACATGTAGCTGATTCACTTTAGCTGTTTCTGTTATACAGCAGAAACTAACACAAAAATGTAAAGCAATTATACTCCAATAAAAATGTTAAAAAAATGATAACTACAACAAAGTATCACTGGATTTGTAACATATCTAAATATAATATGTATAACAATAATATCATAAAAAGGAAGAAAAGGGAATAGAACTATATAGATATAACATTTCTCCATCTTCTGGAATTAAGTTAGTATAAATCAAAAGTAGATTCTGATAAGTTAAGATGTATATGGTAACAGGTTATACATACAATGAAACACCCAGCCATAGGAAGGAATGGAGTTCTAATACATGCTACACCATGGAAAACTTTTGAAAACATTATGCTAAGTGAAATAAGCCAGAAACAAAAGGACAAACATTGCATGATTCCACTTCTATGAAATACCTAAAATAGGCAAATTCAGAGACACAAAAAGTAGAGTAGAGAATACCAGGTGCTAGGAAGGAGGAGTTATTGCTTAATGGGTACAGAGTTTCTGTTTGGAGTGACGAAAAAATCAGGGGGACAGTGAATATGATAATGCCACTAAACTGTACAGTCAAAATGGTTAAGATGGCAAAGTTTATGTTATACATATTTTACCACAATTTTTTTTAAAAGATGCATATGGTAAGCCTTAGAGCAACCACTAAAAAAAAAATAGTGGAAAAAATCATTAAAGAACTAAAAAGTATTACATAAGAAAATATTCACTTAATGCAAAAGAAAGCAGTAGAAAAGGAACAGAGGAACAAAAAAGACATGAGACATATAGAAACCAATACCAAATAAGCACATTACAAGAAAGGAAAAGTGCAGACCAATGTCGCTCATGAATACAGATGTAAAACCCTCAAAAATATTTGCAAATCAAATCCAACAATGTATAAAAAGAATTATATGCCATGACTAAGTGGGATTTATGCGAGGTATACAAGGCTGGTCCAATATTCAGAAATCAATTAATGTATCCGCCACATCAACAGGCTAAAGAAGAAAAATCATATGATCATATCAATTGATTACAGAAAAAGAACCTGACAAAATTCAACACTGATTCATGTTAAAAACAAACAAACAAACAAAAAACCTCAGTAAATAGGGAATAAAAATGTTCTACAAAACACCTACAACTAACATCAGACTTAACAGTGGAAACTGGATGCTTTCCCTAAGATTGGGAACAAGGCAAGAATGCCCCCTCTCATCACTCCTATTTAACATGCTACTAAAACCACTAGCTAGTGCAACTAGACAAGAAAAGGGAAAAGAGAATCTTACTGTATGATGAATATATGAAACAACTTCACTGAGGGGGATGGAAGAAAAAGGTGCTAACCTAAGTAACTGTGGAAATGAGTGGAACCTACAAGACTAAAGGGAAAGGAACTATACCTAAGCACTGCACTCTAGTTGATAAAGCTTTTTTCCCATGGAGTATGGTCTAACAAGTCAGATACTGCTACATGTGTATGCTGAAACTGAATAACTGAGTAACTGTATGGCGCATGGTGGGAGCCAGGTTTCTCACTGGGGGAGTGAAAATTTACAAACAAGCAAGGTGAAGAGGCTAGAACGATTCATGTGGTAATGGATTAGAATTGGAGACAGTATGAACTCATGTTTAGCTTAATATATATAGATACAGATGGTTACATCAGAAATATTTCTAGATGTGTATATATGCATGGGTTACTATTCACACATATTTCTTTGAGGATTTAAAAGGCATCCCTAGCAAGAGCACACCTACCTGTAGGCAGTTATGTTCCCCCAACTTGAGGACAGGGTATTTATATAAACTGAGAAGTGGCAATGGAGAGCTGCAAGGCTGGAGACAGGATAGGCGGGGAAATATCAGGGACAGCAAGAGAGGCAAATGTTGGAGGGTCGGGAAGAGGTTTCAGCACATGCTTAACAAGCAATGTTGCTGATACTCTAAAAACAGAAGAAAAAAGCCAACAGAAGCCAGTCCACTGGCCTGAAGCTAAAGTGCAATACAACTGGGATAGAAATTAAGGCATGTCTAGGCAAACTTTTCTAAGTTGACCTTGGGCACATTTACTTTTCCCATCCCCATGTGTTCTGAAGGTGCCAGGACCCGCAGGATTTAACTTGGGGTGTAGGCTCTGGGAAGGGCCCTGCATGAAAGCCTGCTGCCATGGCCTTGGTGGGGTGTGTAGGTGTGCTGAGAATGAGCCAATGTGCTAAGGGAGATGACGAGCATTGCGAGCTGAGCCCCAAGAGCCTTAGAAGTAGGTGACTGGGTGTGGTCATTTGACCCATTGTTGAAGAGGCCACAGAAGCTGGCCCCTTCACAGGCCAGGAAAGGACTTTCTGGAAGGGTCTGGATACACCCCTTCAGGGGCTCCTCTGGCTCCAGGGGTGAGCTCCGGTGTCCAGAGACATTACCAGGCCCAGATGTAGGAAATGGGAAGGTGGGATGCATAAAACCAGGTGGGGCCTGGTATGGGACACCGGTGAGTCAGGAAGCACGGAGCAAGCAGATGTAAAAAAGTTCCAGACCAGGAGCCACTGACTTGGTTTCTGAACCCAACTCTGCCATTCTCTGCTTTGAGAGTCACTTAGCCTCTCCGAGCCTCAGTTTCCTCATCTTTATGAATGACTCACCCAGCTTCTTCACATGGTGATCGGCGAACAGAATGAGATACCGTATGTGCATGTAGTTGGCAAACAAGCAAGTCTCAACCAGCGGTTCTCAAAGTGTGATCTGAGGACACCTGGGGGCGGGGGCGGGGTGCCCTGAGACCCTTTGAGAGGGTCTGCCAGGTCTTCCCTTTTCCAAATAGACTGTGCCTGAGCCTGAAATTTCTTGGTAAGCTTCCTCCAAGGCAGCTGATATGAGACTCCAATGGTCCTTAATTAAACCGAAGAGATTTTCAAACATATAAAACCATGCCACTTTTTTTAAATAGTTATTTTCATTAAAGATGCAATTTGCGTTAAATTTGAATGGATTTGTTATTTTTAAATGAATATTTAAAATTTTTAATTCCTCATACCGTTAAAATCAACAGATACAAGCAAAAGCCCTTCGGGGTCCTCAATAATTTCTCAGCCCGTAAAGGGGTCCTGAGACCGGACAGTTTGGGAACCGCTGTGCCCAACAACAGTGGAGGCGAGCCGCCTCTCAGCATCCTCTGAGAGGCTGACTCCAGACCCCCTTTTATAAAACACGCATACGTTCACGGTTTCCACGTGTGGGGACGCTAGTTTTGTTTTCTGGGTCTCAGAGATCCAACGCTTGTACCCATTTTCCCGGCCGAAGTAAGGGCCCTCCCACAGGGAGGCACTGACAGTGTGGGGCGACCCTAGCGGGGGGTCGGCGACCTTGGCAGAGGTCGAGCCCGCGCGCGCGGGAGGCAAACGATGCTCCCGGCTGGCGGGAGTTCCCGCCAGTGGGCGCTGAGCCGGGTACCGACCCACGGTGAGCCTGACCGGGTAGCGGGGGACTGGGGACCTGCACTCACAGCCTCGGCAGCGCCGCTCCGCGCGCCGCTCTCCTCAGCAGACGCAGCGCCATCTTGTCTGCGCGCGGGCCCCGCCCCCGCCATGTCCGTCTCCGCTTCGTCCCGCCCCTGTCGCCACGCCCCCACGCCGCCGCGTTCCGCGCACGTCCTGCCCAGAGCCCGTGTCTCCACGCCCCGCCCCGTCCCCGCAAGCCACGCCCCCTGCTCTTGCGCCCCTGCCCCCTCCGGCTGTCAGAACTTCCAGGCTGTAACGCGAGGCAGAGCAGAGTCCGAATGGGTGGATTTTGGGGTGACTGAATCCAACCATTCCCGTGCTTCTGGGTTTTTAGGGCGGGTTTTGAGAGACCTTGCATTCTCCCAGCCAGACGTGGCCAGATTTTCTAGGGATTTCTTTGTTGTTTTTGTTTAAATACTATACCTAACAAAGATTGTGAGTCTCACCGTGTGCGTGCCTCGGTTAACAGTCAATCCATTATGGGACATATATGACTGTAAAAGGGTCAGAATAGATGCTGCTGGCAGCTTTCTGGGCCAGAGAAATGCTTGTTGAAGACACGGGGCAGCGAACACAGCGCTTCACTCCAACTCCTTCCTGCCAGTCTGTCAAAACTCGGGCTTCACAGTCAGGAGAATGCTAAGGTATTAAAACAGCTTACCAGCTGTGTGACTTTGGACAAATGACTTAAGCTCTCCCTGCTGAAGTTTCCTCCTGTAAGATGGGAATATAAATAGTACTCATAGGGTTATTATAAGGATATGTTGCGTTAATATACTGAGAGCGTAAAGCCTCTTCTGGCCCAGAACACATGCTCAGTAATGTTAATTACTTCTCATTATTATTATCATCACACCAATTCCTTTCTTAAAAATCTTTGGTGACTTCCAATGAGAAGTGTTAAAATGAAAAACAGAAACAAACAAAAAAAAAGAAAAACAAATGAAGAACAACCTTGAAAATACCCTGAGCAGACAAAATCTGTTTCATCATACAAGCAAAGCCTAATTTAGCTTATTTTGCAAGACAACTTGACCTAGGTCATTTCTTGCTTATGCCTCTGGAAATCATAAGCAAAAACTTGAACTATTTCCTAAGGTAACCACTGACAAATTCCCTATATTGAAGAAAACTCTAGTATTGTAACCAATCACTGTGAAGAATAAACAGTCACTACTTTCTCACTAAATAAGCTGCTTTATAACAATATATCCCTGAGCCTCATTCCATGTTTTTGTTTGAGTGCTCCCAGTTTGCAAAATGTCTTTTTGATGTGGGCACAATAAACTTTTACCAATTACTACTTTGGGGATTCATTGGGTTTACTTCTGTTATTTATGAAATTTTGACAGAAGCATTTAGAATAAAACCCCAGTTCTTCACCATGACCCTGAAGTCCTTACTCTATCTGGCCCCTGCCTGTCCCTTCAACCTTATCTCAGCCCTACCCATCTTCTTTCTGTGGGTTTTTTTGGTTTCTGTTATTTGTTTTTTTAGTGCGATAAGCCCCCTCCCACTTCAGGGCCTTTGCACATGCTGTTTCCTATCCCCAGAATGCTTATGGCTATACTGTCACATCCTCCTGGACATTTACCCTACCTGCCACCTGCTCAAAGAGCCTGAGCTGACAACCCAAACTAGAGCATCCCCCTGGTCTATTTCACTGGCACAGCAACCTGATCATTTCCGTCACAGCCCTCATCACAATGTTTATCAATTTGGGAATTTACTTTCTTATTGTTGCCTTTCCCCTGGTGGTTCTCAAGGTGGGAAGGAACTACTGCCCATAATCAGGTGGGCTTTCAGAGTGCATTATTGTCATTTAGGGTGCAGGGCTAGGGACGTTTGGGCAATCCCACTCATAGAAGGGCTGCTAGTGCTCTGGTCTAGAAACGCCATCTACAGGAATAGAATGTGAGCTCTTTGAGAGCAGGGACCCGGTATATCTTGTCATTGCTGTGTGCCCACAGCACCTGGCTCAATGACTTGTAACCTGTAGGTATTTAATAAATATAAGATGAAAATGTTCCTCTAGCTTCATTATAATTCTGAGAACTGCCATATGAGTTGTTATCCTTACTAAAAATGCCCTGGTCCTTATGGCTTTTTAGGTAAAATACAACCTCCAATGACTTATTTGCTAAATGATTCAATATCTTTCAGATTCTGCTTGAAGAAATTGTAGCTGTGCCCATTCTCACCAGGACTGCTGTGGTTTTGTGGTTTTTTTTAAAGGTTTACTTTTATTTTTATTTTTTGGGCTTCCCCAGTGGCACAGTGGCTAAGAATCCGCCTTCCAGGACATGGAAGCAACCTAAGTGTCCATCGACAGATGAATGGATAAAGATGTGGCACATATATACAATGGAATTTTACTCAGCCATAAAAAGAAATGAAGTTGAGTTATTTGTAGTGAGGTGGATGGACCTGGAGTCTGTCATAAAGAGTGAAGTAAGTCAGAAAGAGAAAAACAAATACCATATGCTAACACATATATATGGAATCTAAAAAAAAGAAAAAAAAGGTCATGAAGAACCTAGGGGCAGGACAGGAATAAAGACACAGACGTAGAGAATGGACTTGAAGACATGGGGAGAGGGAAGGGTAAGCTGGGACAAAGTGAGAATGTGGCATGGACATATATACACTACCAAATGTAAAACCAACAGCTAGTGAGAAGCAGCCGCATAGCACAGGGAGATCAGCTCGATGCTTTGTGACCACCTAGAGGGGTGGGAAAGGGAGGGTGGGAGGGAGGGAGACGCAAGAGGGAAGAGATATGGGGATATATGTATATGTATAACTGATTCACTTTGTTATAAAGCAGAAACTAACACACCATTGTAAAGCAATTATACTCCAATAAAGATGTTTAAAAAAAAAAAAAAAAGAATCTGCCTGCCAATGCAGAGGACACAGGTTCAAGCCCTGGTCCAGGAAGATCCCACATGCCAAGGAGCAACTAAGCCCATGCGCCAGCCTGCGAGCCACAACTACTGAGCCCGTGTGCCACAACTAATGAAGCCTGCGTGCCTAGAGCCTGTGCTCCACAACAAGAGAAGCCACCACAATGAGAAGTCTGTGCAGCGCAATGAAGAGTAGCCCCTGCTCGCCACAACTAGAGAAAGCCTGCATGCAGCAACAACCCAACGCAGCCAAAAGTAAAATAAATAAAATAAATTTATGGGCTTCCCTGGTGGCGCAGTGGTTGAGAGTCCGCCTGCTGATGCAGGGGACACGGGTTCGTGCCCTGGTCCGGGAAGATCCCACATGCCACGGAGCGGCTGGGCCCGTGAGCCATGGCCACTGAGCCTGCGCGTCCGGAGCCTGTGCTCTGCAACAGGAGACGCCACAACAGTGAGAGGCCCGCGTACCGCATAAAAATAAATAAATACATTTATTAAAAAAAAATTAAAAATCAATTCAAATAACACATTGCGTAGAAAGAGCAAGATGCAAATTTACCCAAAGCCAGTTAAGCCTCAGGGCCACTGAGTTGCACTGGTCCCCTCCAAGTCCCCACCAATGTGTTCACAAGGGCATTTTTTTTTTGTAAACTGTACCAAAGTAAAATATTTTAACTACCATTGGTTAAGACACTTTCTGCGTCTACTTCAACTGTTCCTCTCTTGGACTTCCTTTGTGTTGGGTGCCGTTGGAGTGGCTGCAGGTATTTTGGGAGTCCGGCCAAGGAGAAGATGAGCTGGGATATATTTGGTTTAGATTTAATAGAATACGTTTATGTGATTTGCAATCATTTCCATGTTTGGTTATTACTAGCAGTCCTAGTTTAGGAATGACTTTCAGAAATTCTGCTATCCACTGTGCTGACTCACCAGCATAAAGATGCAAAGGTCAGAGGATGTGCCCCTGGGGCACCTGGCACCAGAAGTGTGAGTAGTAGAAGAGAAACAAAGTTTGAAAGGCATGGAGCCAGAGACTATCTGTGGAAAATTCTTCCAGTTAACAGAAATGTAAAATTGTAAAGAGAGAGTTTGGTTCTTATCTGTACCTGGCCAACATGGAAGCTCTCTCCTGTCTGGAATACACTCTAATAACATTGTGGTGGCTTTCGCAGTGTCGGCCCAGCTCGGCTAGGACCACTTCTCCCATAATTTCCTTGCCTGTGTGGTACCGGGTTGGGGTCATTCACAAGAGACATTTGCACGAGCTCTGGAAGGTGGAGGTGAAGCAGCAGGTCACGTGTGCTCACCCTGCTGACACGGGGCAGTGTGTTAACTTCCTCTCTTTTGAGATTATCTACAGATCTCATTACGTTGATATCCACCCATTTTTTTCAACTCAAACATTTATCGACATGATTCCTGACCTCAAGAAGCTAATCTGAATGAAATTCAGTCACGTGCTACAACATGGATGGACCTTGAGGACATCATGCTAAGTGAAATAAGCAAGTCACAAAAGGACAGATGCTGTACAATTTCACTTATATGAGTTTCCTAGTCAAATTCATAGAGACATAAAGGAGAATGGGGGTTGCCAGGGGCTGGAGGGAGGGGAAATAGAGAGTTAGTGTCTAATGGGTAGAGAGTTCAGTTTTGAAAGATGAAAACAGTTCTGGGAACAGATGGTGGTGATGATCGCACAACAGTGTGAATGTACTTAATGCCACTGAGCTGCACACGTAATATGGTTAAAATGGTGAATTTTATGATGTTCATATTTTACCAAATAAGAAAAAAGATTTTATTTTTATCTTTATTTATCTTCAAACGGAAGTATAGTTGATTTATAATATTATGTTAGTTTCAGGTGTATAACATAGTAATTCAATATTTTTATATATTACACTCCATTTAAAGTTATTATAAAATATTGGTTATATTCCCTGTGCCATACATTACATCCTTGTATGTTATTTATTTTATACCTAGTAGTTTATACCTCATAATCCCCTTTATCTTGCCCCTCCCCCCTTCCCTCTCCCCGTTGGTAACCACTAGTTTGTTCTCTGTGTCCGTGAGTCTGTTTCCGTTTTCTTATATTCATTCATGTTTTATTTTTTAGATTCCACATATAAACGAAAACATCCAGTATTTACTTGTCTTTCTC